TCATTTACCACGAACAACTAAAACAATAGAATTTTAGTATAACCTATGAAATAGGTTGGTTATTTTAAGTATATTTTGTGCATTATTAATATTGTATTTTATAATTTTAGATTAATAACAAAACAACCGTGTATTAGCTTCGATGCGAAGCTGAGAAGGTATTAATTTTACCATGATGTGTTTTTTTTTTTTATGTCTGTTGCCACTTTTTCTCAGCTCTCATTGGACCGATTTCTTTCAACAATACGTCAAAAGATCACAAATCGTATCTAGTTGAATACATTACCCTTAAAAATTGAAAATTTTTCCCTCGTTCCCCGCAAATAGGGGAAATGTTAAAAAAAATTACAATTTTTAAAATCTGTGAATTTTGTGATTTTTTTCATTTTTTTTTCTTAATACTTCTATAACTTTTTCAAAAATAAACAAATCAACATAATTTCTTTTTATACTAAAACCTTAGATATTTTCCTTTCATTTGATAGCATTTTTATAAATATTTAACACTTAACCTGCTCATAGGGGGAGATTTAAAGTAGTAACTTTTTTACAAAAACTAACTATTTCAACTTAATTTTTGAAAATGTTCCGGAAATTCTGTGTCCTATTAACATATATAAAATTAAAGCTTATGTCATGTACTATAAAATTAAAAAAAAAAATTTATCCCGACAACCTATCTTCTAAGCGCAAATGGCTACCGTATTCAAAAATATGCTATTTTTGTGTTAAAATCCTGGGTTTTGTATTTTATTTTATTTTAAAATGTCTTATAAGGTCAATACACTGACTTTCATGAATATTATATAATTTAATTGACATAGAATAAAATTCATAAGACATAAGAAATTAAAATCATCAAAATTTTTTTACTATTTTAAAGTAGAAAAAGTAATTTTTAAATTTGAGTTAGCTTAAATAGCCAATTTTATCATTTGACGAAAACAATGAACAGTTGCCAAATCGGTACACTTATGTCTTCCACGCATAGGGTACGAGGTTCGAATATACTTGTGGCAATTAATGTTTTGCATTTTTTTTAAGTTAGAATAAAATGTTCAATTCATTTGATATTTATTTCATTTAGATTCAATAACTTCAATAAATATAAAGGACCCTATCACTATAGTCTTCCCTCGTGAGAAGAAATTTATATTCATGTTAATATTATTTTACTATGTGGTTCTTTTTGTGGCTACGATTTATTTTGCCAACCCTCCCTAGACCTACTTTTTTCAACGATACATCAAATGATTACAATTCGTATTTAGTTTAAGTTATTACTCTTAAAAATCGAAAAAATAATCCTTATTCAAATAAAAAGTAGCTTAACCAACTTTTTCCATACAAACAATTAAAATCATTAATTTCTAATATTCTTAAAGTATTTATTGTCGAATTAGATATGATATGATAAAAGTATTTAACTACAAGAGTAAATAACTTTACTTTGTAATTTATTAATTTTTTAACTCTATTTGTGTGTGCTACTACTAGTCTATAATTTTCCAATTTTTTTTGTAACATGTTGCTATATAAATCATAAATTTAAAAAAAAAATGATTTTTAGTTTCACCTGAATTTAACGATGGATTTTTACAATTATAATCAAATTTTATAATACGCTCAATTGAGTAAATCTTTTTAACAACTTTTTATTTATTGGTTTTTTTAGATATTTAATCATTAAAATTAATTAAATTCTGAATATTTTAATTGTAGAATCTTTTTAAACACCAAAAGTTAATTAGAAATGATTACTATGATTTTTATTTAAATGATGTATTACGATAAAAATGTAAAAAAATCAAACTTTTCTGATAAATGTACTATAAATAGTAATTATGAAATTCCCTGATTGCATATTAATCTTAACAATTTCATTTTTTTCTATTTAATAATGTCAATTCCAAACTTGCAAGTTGAGCTAAAAGTTATGGCAGTAAATTAATTTTTTTTAATTAAAACTTTCACTTTAAAGGATTAAGAAAAGTAGGTTCAAAATTATTATTTTTAACATATCAAAAATCAAAATCAATAATAATTTGAAAACAATTAATTTTAAAAATTATATAATACTAGGCTCCGCCTAGCTGAGGCTCCGCCCCAGACCCGGGGCCCTTCGAGCCTTACGCGCCTTATACACAAAAATTATTGATAATCTAATTATAATAATTGTGTTTATATTATAGAATAATTAAAAAAAAATTTAGCAGGTTATTATAAGTAGCACATTGTAAATTTAAATTAAAATTAATAATAAAAATAAAAATTTAATTTTGATAAATATATTGGTAACTGCGATTAAACGATGAACATCATAGTTATCATAGATGAATCCCTATTCAAAAGATAAACACATAGTCTCATACATCATACATGAGAAAAAAGAAAATTATTAACTCTGTACTTAGTACTGTTCTTATAATGAATGTACAAACTTAAATAATTATAACGTCTTGAAATTTATATATAACATATAACATTCCTTGATTAAAATAGGGCAAATGCAAAATAGTGTTCTAATAATAATACATAATACACCATATAATTAAGGTTCATAATAAACGTATCAGCAGAAATAAATCACTGCGCATAATACAACCATGCGCGTGGACTTAAAAAAGAAAAAAAAAAAAAGCTCGTAAAACGGTGAAAAATGAACGGATTGAATTGATTTTTTTATCATATCTCAGGAATGTCATTGGGCGGGTCTGATGAAAATTTCAAACCTCAAGTCGTAAAACGCTGGCGTCAGCGAGCGTTTTTCTCGAAAACGGTCGAAATTTTAAAACGCTCGCGGGCGAGCGGCAAAAATTTTCCGACCTTCGCCAATAATTTGCCCGGAGTCTGGTGACCGAGTATTTTCGTCGAAAAAAAAAATGTTGAAAATCCGAGCACGCTAAGTAATTTTCCCAGAAAAGCGTTTTTTTCCTTGTTCTATTATATAATAAGAT